AAACTTATAAGAAATTCTACTCAAAACTCCTAGTACTTAACTGCATATGCCCTACATAGCAATGCCTAGGTTAATGAAAGGAATCAATTTTACTAACATACTTTATTGTCAGAAACTTTATCAGAGAGAGAAAAAATACAAGATATATTAGAATAGATTCCTTCCCACCCACCCTTTAGTAGAGTAAAATATTGAGCTGACTCTATGCAGACTAAGCTCTACCTTCCGTTTCTGTGGGTTGGACCCTATCTAGAAATGAAGCCACCCAGGATAGTTGTAACTTGGGTGGCTTCTTCTCTATTCTAGGCAATTAGGTATCTACTTCCAACTCCCAAGAAAAGAGTTTTGCCTTCATCTGGGCATTGGTCACGGCCCTTGTCTATATCCTAGAGTCCTATACCATAGATGTCTTCCTATTCAGTCATGTTCATTAATCCAAGCTGAGGGATGTGCAGCGTCCTCTCTACACCTTGCTCTCTTTGTTATAAGAAGCTAGGTATAGAGATTTGTTAATCAAACAGATACTGTACTTTCATGTAGCAATTTTTTTGTATTATCATGTCATTTTTATTTAACTTTTGTATTCAGCAGTGATAAGCAAAATATTTAACAATCAGTTTGGCATAAACATTTGACCAATCAGATTGGAAGTCTGACCAATCAGGACGTAAGTCCCAAAATCAAAAAATGGGCACCCAGCCAATCAGAATGAATGCCTAATAAATACAAATTAAAAGCAACCAATCAGAATGGACATCTGACCCATTAGAGTAAGTGAAGTGTGTACCAGCCAAATATCTGCATCCCAGTTATTATTAAACTTTTCGCTTGTGGGTTCTCTTTTAAGTAAGCTTGTAAGCAAACTGAGGGCAGGGACCACATGATAGATTTTTTTTGTATCCTCCAGGTGGCCTTGCTGAACTGGTTTTATAGTGTGAACTTAATGAATATTCGTTTGATTGCTCAGAAAACATCAGTGGGTAGAAAGAGTACAGTTTGTCCCTCTCTGATAAAGATAATTATAGAATTATCCCACTGAAATATCACTAAACAAATAGCATGTTTTTGGATGACACACAAGTGATAAAGAAAAATTAGTATTTTTGAGGGATTATCATTCAATATGATCTTGTCAAGCTAGAGAATAATATATAATTACACTGATTTCTTAAATACAACAATGTATAGTATATTAGAGAATGAATAACATAAATAAAAGCTAGAGTACAACCATAAAGATATTAGTGAGGCCAAAAACATCTAGGTCTTATAGCAACTAATAAAATGAAGTTATTCCAGATGTTTTTAAAATACCTAGACTTCTGGAATGGTAGTCAGATGTTCATTCATTCCACAACTCAGCTGAGTACCTACTAGGTATAAGGCATCATGGTAGACATGCTGGGAAAACAGTGAGAAATTAGCAATGTCCCCTTCCTCAATCAGCTCAAGTTTTAAGGGAGAAGACAAAGAAGTACACAAACTATTAGACAACAGAGACAGAACTTATTCGATGTCTGAGTCATCAGTCAGTGAAAAGAATCACCATGAAGGACATCTTTGTAGCCCACCGGGACAGCTGTGCTCAATAGATGGCAGAGGACCAGAACCCAAGAGTGGTTGGGCAGAAGCATCAGCACGGATGGGTGCTAGACTATGGCCAAAGGCTTCTGCCCTGATTTTTCAGGACCATGTAAGTGTCTGGATTCTTGTAGGATATAATTAAGGAGAATAAAAGCCCCCAAAATGATTGATACCAGTTGTGCTAGCCCTTGACAAGTAGGCATCTTAGCCAAATACAATTTATTTTAAGCAATTAAGAAAGGTGACATTTCTTCCACTCAAGTGTCATGGAGCAATTTCGACCAGTTAAAGAATGCTTCAATTAATTTGAAAATTTGCCTGGAGAACACACACACCCTCAAGAAAATGTAGATTCTTGGGTCTTTGACACCCCCAAGATGAATAAACTACTGTAAGAAGTGAGTAATACCTTTGGAATTGTACAACATGGCAATCCTGCTAGCTACTATGAAGAAAGCCTGCTTGAGAACAAACTAAACATATAGAGGAGGGCAGTGACAAGAGAATACAGAAAAATGAACTAGAGCTGTGCTCAAAACCAAAAGTTCACACAGATCTCATACCAGACTGACTTTCTTTCAGTATCATTAGAAAATTCACAGGGAAGAACTCGATTGACCTAGCCTGGTCATATGCCCACCTCTGTGGCTGGAGTATCCACCAGTGGAGGAGGAGCAGCTGATTCATATCCACCAGTGGAGGAGGAGCAGCTTCCCAAAAGCAAGAAGAGAGTGTTGGCCTGAAAAAAACCACAGAGGGTAAACTCCTCAGACATCTAGATTTCTGTAAGTCAAGGTGCCATGTACATGTTAGCTTTATCAAAGTCTTCAGTAAGCATTTACAGAATCAAATTGAATGTGGCTGGTCTTCCTAGTGCTCTGCAGTGATGCAGTGTTTCAGGAGTAGGTTTGGGCAACTGATATTCATGTAGTTTCCTTTAGAAAAGGCTCTATCCATGCCACTTGAAGAAAGTAGGAACCAGCAACCTGTTACCTGTGGTACCCTCAGATCTACAAATATACTTGTTGTCCAGTCCTTTTGAGTAAAATGCTCTTGATGCAATAGTAATGTTACTACCACCAAATTCTCATCTCTAACATGTTGTTATAAAATATATGAAATTTAATAATGCATAAAGGAAAAAGTTGGATTCTTCTTAGTGTTAACATATCAAAATGCTTGAATGGTTCCACAGTGGTGCATAGATTTACCGGTTAGAAAGTCCCAATGTTATGTATACTTGGTAGCAGAGAAAAACTGGGGAAGTGAAAATAAGGTAGATTTTTTTCTAATTCTCATCAATTAACAAAATTCCCCCAAGGAAATTTAGGGACTTTAAAATTCCTAATTCTAGCTTCTCTTCTGAACTTAAGTTCTTTACCTCATCAGTGTATTCTTATTCATACAAGAGAATGCCAGTAATTGCATGCAGATAGTGAGACTAAAAGTTACTTTCATCAGCATACACTTCACTAAAGAAGATTTCTCTGGTATTTGAGGATTTTTCCCCCTTATCTTCCAGAATGAAGATGAAGGTGTAGAACTGAGCTGTCCATACTTGTTCAGCCCTGGCTGAGGCCAAGTTCAGAGATTCACCTAAGAACTGGCTGGGGCAAGGAGGCTCAGCCTATGCCAGAGGGCGGAATCCCTTCTCATTTGGCAGCAGAAACTGACTTTGATCTCCTTAGAGCTTTGTTCCCATTAAGTTGGCCCAATGAATTAGATATTAGATTAGCACAACCCTCTGGGTACTGTATGATCAATAGGTGTGAATTAGTGACACATTTCCTCTTCTTTCCACATAGGTGAAGGCTTATACTAAGGCCAACTGAATCTTCTTCCATAACAAGACTAAGAATGAAATATCACTGTCACTGTACATGAAGTTACAAGGCACTCAAGATGTGTTTTATAAAAGCCTGATGACTTGTTTAACTGTCCAAATTTTTTCCTTATTCCACTAATGGTTGAGTCCACTGGTTCCCTTAATAACCTCCTCTAACTTTCCGGGTTTCCTTAGATCTAAAGTAAATGCCTAGGCCAGTAGTTATCAAATTATTTTGGCCTCAGGACCCCATTATCCGCTTAGAAATTATTGAGGACCCTAAAGTTCTTGTGGGTCTTATCTGTCCACATTTAACATATTAGAATTAAAACTGAGAAGGGAGAAGGAGAGATAAGACTGACATCCCTGAGTGGATGGAGCCTCTGCTACTGACTTGTCTTTCTGCTTTACCTGAGCCAGTAAACACTCCTTTCCCGGAGAGCTTGATCCCGCTGGGTTTCTGTCACTAGTGAATGAGAGGCCTGAACAATACATCCACAAAACAAAAATAATCTAAGACAGTAAATAAAGGACTAAATTGAGTATGACGGGAATGCTGTTTCCCCTTTATTTATTCGTCACCCATTGAGAGTCTACCTACTGAGGGTCGAAGAAGGTAACCATCCCCACTAAGGTTTCTCTAATGCCTTATGAATTCCAAAGTGCTTTCACATTATTTCATAATTTTCCCTATTTAATTCTACCTACAACTCTATGAAACAGCTTGGGTTATACCTATTTTCCAGATGAGAAAACCAAGATGCAGAAGGCCTTTGTGCGGTTAAACAGCCGAGTGAAGACACAATCCCAATCTTAGTCTCTATATTCTCATGGTCATAGTTCTTGCCTCGCACAAGATGCTTGCAGTTTTTAAGGGCACAGACCTGTAGCACAACCCTTAATATTTTCAAGTGCCAGATTTTTTTATCTATCTTTCTGTGGGGGAAGGGGAGCAGTCTGCACAGTAGATCCTCTAACGCCCATCGTATTGGGCTCGGATCTGGAGGTGTTAGGAAGAGGACAGGAGTGGGGTACAAGTTAGAACGGCAATCATTCTTTTCCAGCTCTGTAACTGAGGGGCTGCGGAAGGGGGCTTGGAGGTGGTGCCAGGCAGGAACTGAAGAAGTCAGATAATGCACTCTGCAGATAATCCACAGTCTGCGCCAGAGCGGCAAGAAGGAAAGAAAATATCTCAGCCCCGGGTCCTGGCGGAAGAGATGTAGGAACCGCAGGATTCAGATTCCGAGGTCCTAGATTTCAAAGGCTCCCGCACACAAAGAAAAGACGAAGTTAAGTACCCGCGGCACGACGCCCAGAGTTCGAAACTGGGCCTCCCCTTCCACTCTCGGGTGGAAACGCCTAGTCCACTCGATCCCCCGCCAAAAGCGGATCTTCTTTTATCCTCTGGGGCAGTCCGGACCGCCAGCGCGGGGCACGCCCGAAGTTTCTCGCAGGAACTACAAGTCCCATGAAGCCCCGGGGGCGCGGGGAGGTGAAGACAAAACCCCCGCGGATTGGCTACATGGGGCGGGGCGCGCAGGCCTTCTCCGAGGGAAGGGGCGGGGCGAGGGGCGGGGCAAGCGGCGGTGGCTCGGCGGGCACGCCCCCCCGCCCGCGGTCCCCTCCCCGCTTCTCTCCGCCGCTCCTCTCGCTCCTGGGTCAGAGGGCCCGAGCGAGAAGATGGCGAAGACGTACGATTATCTGTTCAAGCTGCTGCTGATCGGCGACTCGGGGGTGGGCAAGACCTGCCTCCTTTTCCGCTTCTCCGAGGACGCCTTCAACACCACCTTCATCTCCACCATCGGTGAGGGAGGGGCCGCGGCCAGGAACGAGAGTGAGAAATAGGGGGCGGGTGTGAGGGGGCCCGGGAGAGTGGGGCGGGGAGGGCTTGGTAGGAAAGGGACCCCCGGGGATGGCCGGACGGCGAGGGCAGTGGGAGAGGGTGGCGTGAGGGTTTTCGGGGACGTGAGGCTGGGAGGTGAAGGGGAAACTTGGGGGCAAAGAAAGGGGAAGGAGATCCAGAGGAACAAGGACTGGGGATATTGGGGGAAATTAGAGGGTTGGGGGATGACAAGGAAGGGTCTTGGAGGGACAAAGTGGGAGACATAGGAAATCTAATGGAGAGAGAGACGGATAGTGGGTGTGAAATGGATTAGAAGGAAAGAGGAAGGAAATGTGAAAGGGGGCAGTGAAGGGTTGGGGGAATGTGAGGGACGTGAAGTAAAGGAACAGAGGACACAGGGACAGGAGTGGTGAGAACCCAGCCATCGGAATGGAATTCAGGAGAATGAGTGATCAGGAGATGAGGGATGAGGGGCACAAGAAATCTGAGCAGAGATGTCATGGGAGGGGGGCAGAAGAAGACTAGGTAGAAGAGTTCAGAGGACCACAGGATGAGATGAGGATACTTGGTGGAGAAAGTAAAGGAAAGCTGGATGTGAGATAAAAAGGGAAAAAAAGGAAGCTGAATATACACTAGAGAGTTTGAGCTGAGGAGACAGAGAAGGTGGGAAAGGGAGAGGAAAAGGAAAGCAGGACTTTCTTCAGGAACTGGGAGCAGTGGTTACCATTTTCTCTTTTCCTTTGGATCAAGTGCAGGAGAAAGAACAAGTGACTAATGATGGAATGAGGGCTATGGAGCATTAAATTGTTCTGTGAGTGTTAATGAGTATTAAGAGAATTGGTGACTTTTGGAAATGGTGTGGTCAGGAAAATATGGTTCACTCCTTTACTACCATTTCCTGAGAAGCAGCACTTCTCAATTTTTTAAATTCTTGGGTTTGAATGTTTAATAACTTCTCAGCTGAGGATTCTGCCTGCCTTTTAGTATATTCATTCTGCTTTGATTTTAATTATTACTTGCTTAATGAATCACAACATACAGTATACCCCTCAATTACCTTTAATTGATTTAGGGTTTTTTTGTTTGTTTGTTTTTAAATCTTGGCTGGTGGGAGCTGTCCTTCATACTTTTGTACTGGAAGACTTTGTGTTCAGGTAACAAGCTATCCAACTTCCCATAAACTGAAGTGCAGTTCAGAGCTGGTTTTCAGCTGACCTTAACAGCATTTCCCTTGTTAAATAGCTGCAGGTTAATTAAGAACCTTAAGAATCTTAGCTTTTGGTTGGGTGATGTTTGTGGCTTCTAATAACAGCTCACTTAAGCATCTTTCAAATGGTTCTTACAACATATTTCACCATGAATTCCTCAGATTACTAGGGGGCCAGTGCGGTGGTGATAAGTCTATTTGATTATTTGTATGTCTTGATAATTTATCATTTAAAAAAAGAAAATTTGGGTATAGAATGCTCTTCAAGTACTAGGAGAGGCTATGGTTGCTTGGTTGGTTCTGGCCTATTTCATATGTATTGAGTGGCGTGAAACCTCCTGGGTATTATGATGTCTGGGCTTAGGGAAGTTTGAATTGCAAGTTCTTGGCAGTCAGTCTCGAGTGGGACTTTTTCTTTTCTGAGGAAGCAGATTTTAAATGTCATGTCTCAAGTTTATTCCTAAGAGATTTGGTGGGAGCTGTTATAGCAACTAAAGGGCGTTAATTTTTGATGCTGGTACTAATTTCAAAACCCTGAGTAACCCTTTTTCATTGTTGAATGCAAGCTGCAGTCCAGTTGGTAAAGGACAATTTCTGACAAGTTGAGTGGGTCGCCTTTTGTCCATTCTGTGTGTGACCCTCCCAGAAGCATTCTCCTGCTATGAAAGTGAGTGAGTTTTGCGGCTATTTCTGTTAAGCTCCTTAGATGACCTTTGCTTGTTTGTAATAGTTTTATTAGTTTTTTTCTTTTTTTGCCTTAATTTTTGTCCCACATTTCCCATAAGGTTCACTGCTTCCTTTTACAGTAGTAGCTTTTAAAAATTATTTTTCATTCTGAAAGATTAGAATCTTTCTTGCATAGATTTTTTTTTTTTTATGTTAGAAATTCAGTTCAGTGGAGGACTGCACCTATTAAGGCATAAAAAACTGTCCTGAAACTCTTTAGAACAGGTGGTAGATGTTAAATGGGGTGAATCTCATGAATAATCTTGGTCTTTCTATTTTCTGTGGGGTGGATGTGGTAAAAAGAGGCTCTGAGCTGTGTTTTCAGTTAACTTGGAGGAGGGGGAAATCTTCCATGCCTCTTAACCCCAGAGCCCTGACAGGAAGTGGTAGCACACTGCCTTCAAACAGCAGAAGAATGTATATACCTGAAACCTAATGCTTTGCAGTTGAAATTAAGTTAGGAATATAAAGTGAATGTTAATACCATCCTAGGAAAAATTTCCTCACACTCTTTACTGACCACAAACATAGGCTTGTAATATCCACATCTCTAGAAGCAATATTCCACCCCCCCAACGCCTCCCCCCCCCCGCCCCGCCCCAATCCTATCCCCAGGTGATCTGAAGTTGTTGAGGTGAGAGTTAGTGGTCCATCTCCTCCCAGTGATAATTATTTCTTGAAGTCCCTGGATTTTTCTGACTGGGTTTTGACAAGGTCTGCCACAGCATTGCTGACAAAACTTGATAAGGTCTACGTCACAGGAAAGATCCATTTCTTAATGCCTGGGTGGATGTGTGTGTGTTTTGGTAGATATGTATACTACGTGCCTGTTTCTTTTGAAGGTGCACTTTAAGTCTTAATTTTGTTAGTTTAAGTAGTTTTTAAAAAGGGCATCTTGCCATCTTTAGACATTGTTTAATAGGGGTTCTGCCATCACGAAAGGAAGGAGACAATTAGTCATTTTGATTACAGATACAGTTGTTTCACAGACATTCTTCTTACTTCTCTAAGGTTCTGTTATCTTCTCTGGTATCCTGGCTCCCTTTTCCACTTTTGGGGTGGTGGAGGGTACATTTTCTTTCAACTGACTTATGGGGAATCTTCCAGTATATCAGTCAGATAATATTCGTCAACTATTGAGTACGGATATTTTGTACATTTGAAATTATAGGCCCAGTACCGAGGAACACTAGCCTTTCAGTTCAAATGTTTGATAACTGAAAAAAATTTTTTGATTGGCTTCTCCAAACCCCTTACATAATCAGAATTAGTGTTTAATTAAATATCTATAAAATGTAATGTTAAGATAGCTAGGAAATGGCAATACAGTTAGCTATGTATTATATTTCCTATGGGAGGTGAGTACATTTTAATATTGATACGAGGGCATATTATGTCTTAGAATGGCCTGTACTGAACAAGGTACTGGTAGAACAAAAAGAAAACTCAGCCTTGTCCTCTAACAGGATAATCTAAGCTTCTTCTCTTTGTCCTGCCCCCTTCTTCCTGTTAGGGTATTTCCTGCGTGGTTTCATTTTAGTATTGTCATAGTTTGACAGTAGAAAGAGTCTTAGAAATTACCTACATTATGCCCCTGCCCCAATTTTATAAATAAGAAAACTAAGGTTAAGTTGACGCTGTCAAGATCATAGAGTTGGTTGTAGCAAAGCCTCCTAGTGATCCCTAAATTCAAGTCTGTGTTACTTTTCATAGTCAAGCTGCTGCCATTTCTGATCAGTGTGACCATCTCCATAAATTTGAAGTCACCATCTTTTCCAGGCAGGAATTAGATTTTGCACATATACTTTTATGTTAGGAAAGTTAAGATGGTCCCAGTTTGTTTAGCCAAATCTGTTCAGGGAAATAGTAAATGCTCATGCAATGACTCAGAGTGCTATAGTAGTTGATACTGGCACAGCTCAGCATACTATAGCTGTCTTTCGCCCTTTCTTTCTATCTGTAGTTTCAAGTTAGACCATCTTGTCATTAAAATTCCTTCCATGCGCAAAATAACTAATGAAATCATATTAATAGTGGTATGCAGGTTTCATTTCTTAGACATTGCATTCTTTTTCTTGGAATCAGTTTCCTCAAAATCAGGGATTGACAAACCATTGCCCACAGGCCAAATGTGGCCTGCAGCCTGTTTTTGTAGTTCACAAGCTAAGAATGGTTTTTACATTTTTTAAGGGTTATTAAAAAAATCAAAACAAAGAAGAATATGCAACAGAGACCATATGTGTCCCACAAAGCTTAAAAATATTTACTAACTTTATAGAAAACGTTCCTTTATAGAAAACATTTGCCAACACAGCTCAAAATTCAAAACTGTTTTTGGTTGGTAGCAATTCAAAGCTTTTATCAAGACTTATTGACTGAAAAACAAACTTTGTCATGTTTACATTTTTATCCAAGATGATATCAACATTTGGCTGAACTTAATCCAGATATGTAGAGCAAGTTGATTTTAATTTTCATAGTTGTTTTTGTTGGTTTCATCCTTGCAAATAAAAATATGCAGGGAACATGAAACTTCAAATTGAACATTTTGTACATAAACCCTTATTTTAATGTCATTGTGTTCTTTCGAAGCTGTCGGTAGACTTTTCATCGAAGTGATAGCTTTGAAATTAGTTTTCAACAACATTATTTCAGAAAGAGTAGAATTTAATACTCGATAATAAAGGGTTAAATTAATCTCTTCACTCAGTGGTCTAGTGAGTGAAAAAAGCCATTCAACAAATTAAGGAAGGAGCGGGGAAACCGAGTCTTGGATTCAGATATGGATATGTCTTAAGCATAAGTATACTTTAATAAAGAGCTTGGCCAGCTGTTCTGCATGGCAGCAAATCAGAGGGGAGATTCTCTTGGCAACAGCACCAAGATTGTTTGGATCCACTGAGAAAAGCTAGAGGGAAATAGGTTTGCATATTGTCTTAAAGGGAAATAAGTCTAGTCTTTGAAGACAAGGAAAACTTTAGCAGTTGATTTTTTAATTGAATCTGATAACTGAATCTGAAAAGGACCG